AGTCCGGATCGGCTGCCAAGGCTGGATCCGTCGCTGTATCAAAGTCGGGATCGGCGTCCAAGACCGGATCCGCGGTCGCGCCGTCGTCTCAGGCAGTGGTGTCAACTGGATCCACGGCAATTGCTGCTCCTACGACGGGGTTAGCCACATCCACAGCTAAGTCCAGTTCGTCTCAGTCGGGATCCACTGCTGGCCCTTCGGTGACGACGCCTGCCGTCCCCCAGCCAGCTTCCACCGGCCCTCCGCCGGCCAGCACTGGATCCGAGAAAGGGAAAGCCAAACGTGTCATTCCCACTGGTTGTGGGCTTGGCAGCTCGGAGGATGACGAGGATGAGGAATCAGACTGGTCCGATGGCTCAGGGCCTCCTATCCGATCGGCGTCGACGCGTACGTCGTCCTCCGGCCCTTATTTCTTCACTCTGGACGATGAGGACGATGACGACAACGATGGCGATGAAAGTCCGGAGGATTTGGAGGAGGCTCGCGCCGCTGATGATGCCTTGGAAGAGGACACGCGACGGTCCTTGTCCCAGTCCAGATCCGAAGCCCGGCGGAGATCCCTCTCGACACCGCCTCCGCAAGTCGCCGGTACAGCCGGATCCGGAGCCGGCACTGCGGGATCCGCGATCCAAGTCGACAGTGACGGTGGGTCGGATAGTGATGGTGGAGGGGGATCGCCTCATGGTGGCGGACCCCCGGATCTGTCTTAATCCCTGCTCCTCCTAACTCGTCATTGCCAAGGATGCTCCCCGTGACCCCGTTCGGTCCGGATGCTGCCTTCATTCCTGGTCGGCGTGCTCCTGTGGCCTTCGCCACCAGAGACATCGAGCCTTGGTCCGCCAAGAAGTTGAACCGGGTCGCCATTATTTCAATGAAGATCACTGTCCTGTTCCCTGAGCTACCTTTTCGAGCTGAATAGATAATCCCTCGGGAAGCGGATGTCATCCCGACGGCCGGATATGTGGATTCGCTCATCACCAGACCTCACGTGGAAGAACCGCTAAATGCTGCCCCGTGGGATACGCTGGCAACCACACTGGTGGATCCGGTTAGCTTCAGGGGTGATGTGCGCGGGCGTCTCGGGTTGTTCGTTCGCGCGTTCCGGGATTTCGTTTCCAAGCATCGGGTTGCCATATGGGAAGGCACTCACCGATTCCCTATCTCTCGATATCAACTGCAGGGTTCGACTTGGTTGTCCAACTTCAACAAGCAGCGTGGTAACCGACGTAGCCATGTGGGCCGAGCTTGGAAGAGAGTCCCTGTGATCCTCGTGTTGGCAATCCAGGACGGTTGGTGTGACGTGGATATTTTGCTGGATCCATCCTTCTTGCATTTTCTCCGACGCGGGGATAAGGTAGCTTGGTTTCCGGGATCCGTATCCCGTCAAGCCAACTTGGAGGATCCCAACCTCCCCTTCCTGTGGGTCCTTCTTCATCCTCCCATCGACATGACCAACTCACATCCATGGATCCCCTTCCTACTCTTCTTCATGAGACTGCATCACGCCGAATCTTTTACGATTCGTACGATCCCGCAAGAAATTATTGAGTACTGCTCCACAGTTCAGATCTGCCTCGTCTACCCAACTGGGTTCGTCAAATCCACGCCAATACACCAGAATTCACGGTAAATCCGTCCGTATCTAGTTCGCTTCCCTGACCTCATGTCGGTGATCTCTCGACTTCGAACTCGTCGGCCTCGAGATCCACATTTCAACTATCTCGGTAGGAGGACTTCG